ATCTTCAGTAATGTATCATACGAATCCCCGCGCGTGTCCAACGACAGAACTCCTACTTCTTCGAGGTACGCAGCGTAAACGTGTGTGCGTGTGTACATGTGTATCCGTGTACGCTGGCTGTATCAAGCTGCGAATATTGAGATATCTCTCTCGTTGGTCCAAGGGTAACAAATCTTCCGCGATGCGATGCGCCGTCGTAAAAGGAATGGCACGAGAACGAGAGACAGAGTCGAAAGGAAAAAGAAAAACTCGCAGATTGCGCGTGACAGTAAAATATGTCTCGATTACAATTCGGCTCTGCGGAGCTTTTTACACCTTTTTCAATGGTATCTGTTGACGATCGATTGTCTCTAGATCGCCGATATTACAGAGTGAGATCTGAGAAACGCGAATAAAGATACAGTTGTTTTAATTTCGCTTCGACAAAAGTCATAGCGAAAAATGGAAACTGAACGCCTTTAAGCGAATATCTTTGGAGATCCCGAGAGGAACGTACTGCCCGAGGAAGAAGTCTACCACTCGTCTCGCGAATTCCTGTTTCGTGTGAACACCTGGAAGTGTACGAGCGTGTGATGGCGTGGCGGATAACATTGTTTCGCGTTGTGTTGGAGTGTTTGCGCGGCGATTTGTAATGCCTTCCTGCGCGACGCCGGCTTTATGTCATCTTCATTCGCACAACAAACTAGGTAGTCGGTTGGGTAGCTAGAACATCGCGAAGAGAATAAGTCTGATTGGGAGTTACGACAAAAATGTACGTCACAAAATCATTTTAAAATTTTAATAACTTATATATGACAAGAATTTACTTGGAATTATTGCGAGAGTTTTAAGTTTAATTGAACACAACGCTATTTTTTTTTGCGATATAAATGCCGTTCTCAAGTTTTAACTATTTCGGTGATAATCGCTCCACGAATGTTATAATACGTTAATTCGTTTTCATATCCTTTGCAATGTTTTATACTAAATTTTGAGAAATTATTCGTGTCGTTTTATTATGATCGATAAGACTTAGTAAACTTATGTCGAGGTCTGAAGCAGAAAGTACGGACTTATTTAAGGTCACTCGAATCTTTCTCGTTGAAACATCAAACAACCAGTTGCAAGTCAGAGAACTCACGCCGTCATTGCATACTGATAGTCGACACAAACGGTCGTGTGTGCAATTTAACGATTGTCAGTTGAAAGGACCGACTCATTACATTCCTGTGTTGTTTAATAGCAAGTTGATGTAATCCGCAGCATATCGCTCGCCGCGCTACCGATTTATTAATCCGCATTTTTCAGGACTGCAGCCTACGAAGTGCGCATCGCGTGAACATTCATCAACCAAGAAGAAAGCCGGTACTATCAGATCGCCCGGTAGAAAACGCAATAGCGTCGTAATTGCTCTCGTACGTCAATGACACACTGGAAGATCTCATGCCACTCCTCCTCTTCATTATATACGCGGATGATCATAAACTTCGTGCGAGCATAATACGGCGGACACCTCCCGTGATATCCGCAATATGATGTGTCTGTATATGTCTAGCGAGGTCTTCCGAATCGCAATACAATAAGATCATGAGTAGTAGATAATGAAAATAATTAATTTAAAAACGTAATATTTAAATTTAAATAAAGCACAAACAAGTTAAGTGTTGGTTTAAAACGATCAATGAGAATATTTGATAAATGAGAATAAAAGAAAAATAAATTAAGAATGATATATCGACTATCACTATAAATATTTTTATTAAAGTAGAAATTTAATTGAGATTTCATTCCTAAGAGTTAGATGTAACTTGAGCCATTTAAGAGTGCAAATGTGACTTTTTTGTTCTAAAGAATATCACGAATGCTCAGTGATCCATCAAGCGTTTAACTCAATTCAGAAAAATAACGACATTTCGCGATGGTCGTGATCCAGATCTAATTTCTCTTCCCGACGGAGGAGAAAAGCTTCTCTCATTACGCGCCGCGCAACGCGAAACAGAGATGAGATGCGGTGGAGCTGCGCCAACGACAATTACAAAGGCCAGATATAATACGTGCAAAACACCGATGCTGCGGGTCCGTCGTGCAAAATTCTGAATGCCCAAGTATCCTCTTTCCTCGAACCTCTTAGCGCTACTTAGCGGATCCTTTTACGGGACAGCGGGCCTCCCGACAAGAAAGGGAGGCACGACGTACGGCTCGACGAAGGGTCGAAGCAAGGAGAGACGAAAAAGATGAGAAAGAGCACGAGGAGGCGCAGGACGAGGAGGAACGAAAAAGAAGAAGCGGGGGAGGGAAGGCGGAGGTGGAGTACCAAAATGGCGGAGTAAGCCGAGGGACAAGATAAGCCTTTGTGCCCGCACGGGGGCCCACGGGGGCCTGGGGCAACGGATCCCGTCGTCTCGGTCTCATATTTCGCGAATCCTGCTATCATATTTTACTGCTCGCCCCCTTCCTCGTTCATCCCACCCGTCTACCTTGCCGAGGTCTATTCGAGGACCCGAAAGAGTTCCTAATTTTTTGTTATCTCACTTTTTCAGGTCCCCGATTTCCTCCGTTCTTTTCAGAGCGCCTCTTCGACGTTGAAGAATTTCATTCGTCTGTCCGTTCTCTAATATAATAATTCTCGAGTATAAATAAGTAGTGCAATTCGTTTCTCTTTTGCTACAATTTTCTATAAAAAATAAATACGTGTATTAAATAATTTTCAAAATATTAATATCTATTAATTTAAAAAAGCGTAATTCTAATCATTAAGTTTTGTTGTAAGATTTTATTGTGTGTAATACTAAAAAATCCTAATAAATTAATCCTAATTAATCCTAATAAATCTTAATCAATTAATCCTAATAAAAATCCAGATGTCAAAAATAGATTATGTAAATAATTATATCGCTCAGCATATAAAAAGCTTTATCAAAGAACATTGTGATATGAGACTTGTTTCCTTAATTAGATGATACCTTTTAACAATTCTTTTCACAGATTTATCGCCAGAGTAACGTGTATAATGATGACGGAACAAGGGCGAAGAACTTTCCTTTGCCAAAGATTACGCGAAATGCAAATTAATGTCATCAATTAACGGCGCAAAGGGCCAATGAGAGAGTAAAAAAGAAAAAAGCGATATCGCATTCAAGCGTTCGTAATCAATGGCCGCTGTTTTCGCATCTCGACTTTTCGTTTATCGCGTTTAATGCTCCATTTGTCGCACCGCGGGAGCTCGCCAGTGCGCGAGGCACTCGCGTTGTTACAACCGTTGCTGTGAACCAATTATCATCGACCGGTGGTACCAGAAGTGATATTTGAAAAATTGACCTTGACCTTTTTCACACGAACGATTAAAGTTCTAAGGCGCTAAGAAGAACGGAATCGCTTTGCGAAATAAATTTCGCTAGCAAATTAAACTATACTAATTGTAAAGACATTTTCTAACGCTTCATTGTTTTTACGTATTTCAGATAGGTTTTAAGTACAAAATAACTACGAAGACTTGCTATATTATTAAAAGAATATTAATAACTCCTATTTAACGATCGCTAGAAATCACACGCGAATCTATATATGAACAACGATGTTCCTCTTCGGCCATCATTTAACCCGCAGTTATTTATATCCCTATATACTTATTGTTAATCACCATTATCGATGTTGAAAAAACGAATTCACACTTGTGATTATAAATAAATGCGGACTTGAAACTTCAAATCCTCGATTATCCCAACGAGATATCCTCTGGCGTTCGCGCGATTCCATGATCTCGGTGATGCGCGGTGCATTCGCTGTCGATTATATCGATTATCGGTCGTGCAAATCTCTCGCGGCTTTACGTCCGAACCCTTAAGGGGCACGATCCCTTAACGGACCGAGGGATAGATCGCGTCGTTCCGCCGGCGTCAAACAATTAAGGCTGACTTACGCGCGCCGACGTTAAAAGAGTAAACGAGTTGCCGGTCGCTGCCCTCCCGTCACGGCTCTTGTGTGTATCAGATAATGCAAGCCGCGGCGCACTGTCATCTCGGAAGAATTTACAGACGACATAGTGCGGGCCTCGGGGCCCGGGGTCCGGGGTCCCCTGTGCTACGTGGCGCGGCGGCAACTGGCCGGCTATCGCGCGCGGCGGATCGCGTCTTTTCGCGCGTCTCGCATCTCGCATCTCCCGCAATTTCCCGCGAAAATGCGTCTCAGTATTGACCGCGAAAACGTTGAAACTTCGAAACAGGCTATTAAAGCGTGTTTATAAAATCCGAAACCTTAATTGAAAGTTTATAATCAAAATGATCTAATTCCTTTTCTTGCAGGAAAACTTTTTTCTCGTAAAAAATTTTATGTGAAAAGACGAAAGACGTAATAAGACCAAAGAAGTTTTACTTATACGTTTAAAATTGACAAAAAACTTTTTTTCTCACTACCTATATAAACTCTTTTTACTACTATTAGCGTTAAGTTTCAGCTGTGATTTAAAACTGATTATATTTTTGGCTCTATATCTTGTTTTTGTCGAAACAATGACGCGATCATTACCATAAGGATATATAAACTTTCCAACGGAAAGAACCACTTTTACAAAAACATCTCACGTGAAAACATAAAAAACCCATTTCGAGCGACAAGACCGCGAAAATAAATGATCCGTGTTTGAGGGAAGCCGACACTTCCGAACGTAATTACAACTTTCACGACAGACCTTGTATGAAACCATCAAAAAGCATGCGGAACGATGGAAATATGTGCAATATAGCGACCGATATATATAGAAGTTACTTTGCACGGAATATAAACGACAACAACAATTCGAAAAGAAATTGCCATCGTGAAAGTGACCGAAGTGTGTTTTCGATCGTGACACGTTCATGGTCACGCAAGGAAGTAAAGGGAATTACGCGGTGTCCCTTTTAGGACGTGCGAAGAGATGTATCGCTGTTCTCTCTGAGAGAAAAGTGCGGAACATACGACATCAAAGGGACACGTAATCATCCGCAAGATACCGTGAGATGAATTATAGAGAGCGATGTACTTACCAGGCATGCAGACGCATCGAAAGGTCCCAGGATCGTCCAAGCAGGAACCGTCGTTTTGACACGGATGCGACTCGCACTCGTTCACATTCGTTTCACATCGCGGACCCGTGAATCCTTGCGTACAGTTGCACGCGAAGGATCCGGGCGTGTTCACGCAGATACCGTCGTGCTCGCAAGGAGAGCCTGCAATAAATAAGAAAAGAAAGATGTCGTCATTGAAAATCAGTCAAAATATCTGAAGAGTCGGATTAAAATATACAGATTACTTGGAATTTATTTAATTTATTTTAAGAATACATTATTTTTATAAGAAGTATAATTTTGGTCAAATTATATAAAGTAAAAAAAAAAATAAAGTATCGACAGAAAATTATTTAACGCAACGCAAGAATCTTATGCAGTCATTCAGCACTGAGTAATTTAACGCTTGATACAAAGCAGACCTCTGTGACACATTCCGATCCGTTCTACTCCGATATATGGTGGATAATTGACGCCACGAAATTCCAAAAGGGGAGCTTCGCCGTTGCATCTCTGCGGGGTTCTTTAGTGAAAGTTCATCCGGTTTCGGTATTGAGACACACTTACGGGGTACCATTTCGAGCGAAACTTTTTCCCGTTCTTTTGCGGTGAGACCGAGATAAGGGAAGGCGAGGTACTGGGACGACTTTTCGTGCCGATACTTACTAATGATTTAAACCGTGGCAAAGCAACGCACATGGCTCGCATAATAATTAATAACTGAATACGGTTTTAAGAGTCGACTCGATATAGCGCATTTCTACCGCTGGATCAGCTTACGAGCAAACGTACGCCGCGGATAGTGCTCCTTAATTGGCAAACTCGCCGGCACTTTTTAGATGCCGCCATTAGAGCGGGAGAGAGAAGGGAGAGAGGAGAGAATACTTCTCTCCTATACCCGGCTAACTCGACCATAAGAAGGAGTATGCTGGTAGAGCATTCTTGAAGCCCTGACGACGACAATTCGTTTAAAGGAGATCGCGTTTTGCCCGCGGAACCCCTCTTTTCTCGGAGATACGTATAGCCCTCTCTAATTGCAACGAGATAATTGCTACGGATGCAGTTACCTACTCGGCGTGTCTTTCCAAATGAGAGCTTCATTAGAAATTTTCTCTCTCTATCTTCCTCATTTCTATACGCAATGGAATTTTGCACTTCAACTATATTGAATTAATTTTACTTACTATATTGTATGTTATTCGTACATGAAAAGAACGGTTTAAAATATCTAAAAATTTAGCTATAAAATACAAATTTAAAAATAATTATGTTGGACCATTTAAATAATTATATTGGAGACGATCAGACTGCTAGAAAGTTACTAAAATGTCAAACCTTTTTGTAATTATCATGCTTCAAGCATTCTATGTAATTATTTTGATGATCCAAGATAATTATTTTTAGATCTGTATCTGGCCTAATTTTTATACACTTCAGCAGAATCATTCTTTCCATTATCGTATGATAATTAAAGCTAAGATCTGTACTACTAATAATTATAATTTTTACTATACAAAATTATTGATACTGGATGTCACAGAATTAGTAATAATACATATATTATATTATTATACATACAGTTTATATTAATATGTAATATTAATATTTTAAGAATATAGATATACAGATCAAAATAGATACAAAAACAAATAAATATAAATACTATATATACAGTTAGATATAAATAAATAAAATGCATAGATATTTGTATAATAGATAAATGTATAGAGTTTGCATAGAGTTTGTATTTATTAATCAGCTTTCATTTTGCCAATATCTACTTTAGCATAAGGACAATAAAGCATGCAAATGTTGTTGTTTTTTTTTCCAATAATGTCATTGCAATTCTCGAAGCAACGCACACGATTAGCTGCAAGTGCCGTGACACATACCGGCTTTTCTCATCGGTATAGTTGAGAGTACGCACGAGTTTGTAAAGAGGCGTTTTGCTTCAGTCGCATACCGCACTCGTGTATTTCGCCAACGGTTTTTCCGACCCGGCGGTGTAATTACTGTCGCGTAACGGACAAGGGCGATGAAAGAGAGAACCGAGGGAAATGGCGCGACGGAAAGAAACGTATACGTACGTTTACTCGCGGCAGTAAGAAACGCATTGCTGCACCGTGTTTCGCGATCGGGTGACGTGACGGTAGGAGAGATGACGAATCGCTCTCCAAGAATGCCACGTACTGTATAGTCGCGAGCTACAGAATTAGCGTTAAAAGGCCATCAGCATACATATAGGCACTCGAAAGCAGCGGTGAGATTCACTCGCCGAGTCACCAATATTTGCAAGTATTATTTCACTAAACGCCATTGAAATAACTCAAACTTTTTTTGCGATAAAAGCGTTTTGTATTAATATAACGCTTTGCAAATAATTCCAACTTTGTGTTAGGAATTTTTGTGTACCTAATAGATAAAAATGTCCGATTTTAGAAAATTGTTATGTCGCTTTTCGGCAATTAATGCAGAATTCTTAAAATCCTCAATTACGTTTTGATTTTACGCAACTTTTACATATTTCCCAGATTCTCCAGAGAAACAACGCGGCATAATTGGTCCGGTTGCAGTACGCCGCGAGGTGCAGTTTGCAAGTGGCGTTGCACCGCCACCAGCGGCAAGATTCCCCGCGCTCGGTTGCATCAAGCTCATCCGAAGAGGCTTCTTGCTCTCTTGCCGGGAGCCCAAGCTCCCTTCGCTTAAGGAACTTAATCTACCAGAAAATATGCAATCTAGATAATAACAGAGTCCCGGCTCGGGCGCGAGATCATTATGGTTGTTATTAAACTTAAAATAACAATTTAGCGTTTAATTAGATTCGTTCATGGGGGCCCCGCGCCGCGGGGGCGCCCCTCCGAGGAAACTGCGCTTCTGTGGTGCACGGACAACGCCGCCGACTCGGGGGCCCACTCCAGCCTTCTCGCTCCTCCTTCGACGCGACTTCCGGCAAAATCTCATTATACCTGGCGCGCTGTCGTCGTGCGTCAACCACGTCGTCGAATCGCTGCTCTCGTGATTTGCGCTTTTTGCGCTGTAAACTGTAGCTTCGGTAACGTTGAAACCATTTTAATTTTCGAGGCTTCGTATTTTTTAATAATATACCGCACATAACGTAACTATTAAGTAGTGGATGTGCGTAAGAGATAGATTATATAAGAGAGTCAAAAAAACTTAAAGATTTATATATACATATAGTTATAATTACCGAAAACATGAAAGTTCCCTACAATTATGGATTCTTTACGAAAATTTGATCGAGAATGTCTATTTTACAATTTTGTTTGTAATATAAAAGAGAAAATGTAAAATAAAAAATGTCCGCGAAGACGATTAAGATTGTCATACTTAGTAATCAGCATTTAAAATTTTAATATAGCAATTTATTCTTGTTGAGAAAATGCAAACAGGACTTTCGATACGATGCATGCATATCACCAACAGAGATTGCTTCAGGTAATACCGACCAAATTTCGATGTAACAATGGCTTTTGTTTAGCTAACAGGTATCAACGTACGGTTACAGTTCCTGGGCAGCTTAATGTCGGCACCAAAAGCAAGCACGAGAAAACGAAAATAAAGAACAACCGTGACGGAAGTTTTCGTTACGCATTACCGTATTTACATTTGCACGCAGTCATTATGATACTATTATCGCATCTATATTATATAATAAACAAAAGAGGCAATTGATTCCCAGTCATTCATTGTTCAAAAGTGAAAAGATGTAATATGCAACTTTTAAATAAAAAATATACAATATTAAAAAAAATGCAAGGAATATTATATTCATGTGTTTGCTAAGCCGGATTCTTCCCCGATTCGTTTTCGAGAGGAGTGTAAAAAGTTCTCGTGACATCCTGACCGGTGTCACCTTCGCACGATGAAGGATTTCAAGTTCTCCGGAGCAGACTAGGTGGTGTAATTCAACACCAAACGAGACGGCTGACTGCAGTTATATGTAAAACCTCGTCTGAGATTTTCAGAAATTCGACGTAAATATTTATAAACTGCAGGTAGAAAAGAGGAAGGCAGATGGGGTGATGATGATCACATGAATTGTAAATAAAGAAACATTATACTGGTCAGAATGAAACAAAATATCACGATTCAGCAAAATAAGTAAAGGCATATGACATTATTATATAAATAAAATGGGCATTATTGTATAAATATATAATAAAAATTAATACATTCTATATTAGATGTCTTATAGGTGTAAGACGATAGCATAAATTATCATAAAAGGATTTCTTTGAGCACTAATTAAACTGTCCACAAAACAGGAGGGTGACGTTAGACCCGTCGATTTAATAAACCTGCCGATTAAATAAATCTCCTGTTTGCCAGAGCAAGATTCCGAAAACTGAATAATTAAAAGACAATTGTGCGAGGAGAGGAAAAGAGATACAAGCAAGAAGATTTCCCTAACAATTATTGTATTATTTTCGACCACTATCTCGATTTCCGGAGCAAACGCTTTGGAGCATTAAGAAATTTTCTACGGTCTCGTCGCGAGTCACAAACGTTTGGGCGCTATTTAAATTATTATTCCGAGAATAAGTGCGACCATGGGCATCGAAGAGTAGGCGATAAGTGAACGTACTCCCCGTATACCACAGATTCAAAAAAAAGAATGTAGATCGCGATCGCGAGAACAGCGCAGCCACTGGGCAGAACGATCATCGAAATATTCACCTTGACGCCGAGCAGCCGATAATTATGCCCGGTGGCCATTAATAAACTAATCCTCGAGGATTTCTTACCGACCATCCGGAGCAAAGAGCCCTGTCGTTTTATCAGTGTTCAGAATCTCCGAGTGCCCAGGGCAATCGTCAGAGGAAGAGACGGATGAGACAGGGTGTGGAGGGTGTGGAGGAGAGACAGGCCGATCTACAGAGTTTAATGACTTGTGGTATCAAACGGCCGAGAGGAGAAAAAAGGGGGATAAATGAGATGAGATGGGCCCGAAGTCCGGGCTAATCACCGGCGATATTAATGCGCGGTATATAAAGAATGCGGCGAAAAGCACATTTGAGTTTGGTAAATTGCTGACGCTTCTTGGTCTCAAATGGTAAAAAAACGCACAATGGTGAGTTAGCGTTAATTAAATCATCTGTTGTTGAATGTGCATTGAAGAATAAATTCATATTTCGATGAAT